CCCAACTGCCCTGCACGTCATGTGGTCGGAATGCCAACGATGTTTCACAGCCAGGTGTCCGAGGTTGCTACTACAAGGCAGGGGGATCTAAGACCCTCCGAAAAAGGACAACTTATGTGCACCATACCACCAAAAAAACGCAACTGTTCAGGGTTTAGGGTTTAGGGCTTCTGATTAACACCTAAAGTGCTATGAGCCATGGATCCTTCAAGCCTGGATCGTTACCCCGAAACCCTGTAGCTTCAACCTCCAAACCCTCACAAACAGCCCACAATCTCCAAGCCCCAAACCCTAAACGCCCTCAAAACACCCTAAACGCTAAGTCCTGAACCCCTAAACGGAAACGGGCAAGCGGCCTTGACGCTCAGGCTCGCGTCGCGCGTGTGGCCCCAGGCAGACAGGTGAACCATGTAGATCTCCCCGCCGCCATTATCATCCACCTGCTTAGGGTTTAGGGTTTAGGTGCTTCAGTTCGGTTTAGTCTTTAGGATTGAGGGTTTAGGGTTTGTGTTTTGGGCTTGGTTTCTGAGCTTCGTACATGATGGACTTCAATAACACTGCACGGTGGTTCTATTGAGAGCTGAGGGCTAGGATATTTTAGATAGAACTGTCATACTCGCGGGTTCACATGTACCGTTTCTTACTTACTAACTCTTGTGGCGAGCACTGTTCGTCCCAAAGAGTGCTGGGGCTTACGATCTTCGGAACGCTTACTCATGTCATGGACTCTCCTTTTCTCACCCTAGAACCCCCAGACCCTAATTAAACCACACACCCTAAACCCTTAGCCCTAAACCCTAAGCCCTATGCCCTAGACCCTAAGCCGAAGCCTTTGACCCGAATCTTTCCTAAGCCGAAAGCCCCCCAAGCACCCTTCAATAGAAGCCTTACCCTCAGGGTCCAAACGGACCCCAAGAATTAGGTACTTAGGTTTCGGATAGTATTTAATTAAGTCACTAGAGTATATGATGAAAAAGTACTTGGACCCTTAGGGCTATGGTCCTTAATTTAGTTGGTAGCTGGTGCACAACCACGCGTAGTTGATGAGGCCTAAAGCGGATCTCGAAGTCCTAAGCCACAAAAAATGGGTCCATACGCGTGCCTGTTTATGTACTTTAGGGTCACAATTCACTATACTACGTACTTGGGTGTATGAACCCTTACAAGGAAACAACCTCGGGGTTGGTGGTTTGGGATTTCCTGAATCCCCCCTAAACCCTAAACCCTAGACCCCCTAAACCCTCAACACTAAACCCTAAACCCCCTAAAGCCCGTAAACCCCTCCACAAGCTCCAGAACCCCGGCCTCAGAGCTACACTGGAAGAAGCGCAGGAGCAAGGGCGCCTGCATCGGCCTTGGTTTAGGGTTTTGCTTTTGGGGTTTAGGGTTTAGGGTTTAGCTTCGGGGTACTGGCTTGGGATCAAGATACAATCTTAACATCAATTCAGCATCTTTAGTTTCGATCTTAATGCCCAGTAAGGGCCCTTTCAGTACCTACTACCAGTAGCGGTGGGATTTGTGATTATGGGGTTGGGCTTTAGCGCTTAATTGTTTTTTCTTGGGGAGGGCCTTGCAAGTCCCCGTGCCACACCCAAGTCACTCCAGTCTCAAGAAACAGAGTTTAGGGTTTGGGGTTTAGGGTTTAAGGCGCGTCATCCTCAACGATGATTGAGAAAAGCACGAACGCAGGTTCCGAAAGCTCCCTTCGCCATGCAAGCAAAAGCCATCTTTGCCAGCACGCGGCAACCTAGAGGTGGCTGAAAGTTCGAAAAATTGGCCCCGGTGTTGCAGAACGGATCGACTCATCCAAGTTCTGAGAGCGCCGCTGCGCCCTGGAAGATTCATGTTTCCGCCTGCATTTCAAGCAGAGACGCAGCCTCTCCAATCTTGTGCAAGCGGTCCGCCAGTCTCGCTGTTTCCATGATTTCGGTAGCATGACCCTGCAACCACTCATGCTTCTGGCACAAGGCTTCGGCGGTGTCCACCCATGACCCAGGTTTCCCAAACTCTTGCAGTGCTTGGTACCCCCTTCGGAGTCGATATCCCTCAGCGGCAGCAAAGCTGCATTCAAGAAGGCAGTAACCCATATGGGAGTTTCCGAAAATAGGGGGTACCTTATTGGGGATCCTTATAATATGGATCCTACTATTTAGGGTACTATATGAGGGTCCCCTATTTTCGGAAACCCCCGTATCAGCTCCGATGGCTTGACCACTAAGTCGGCCTACTGCCCTGGCTAGACTTTGCTCAACACTTCGACGAGTTAAGATGGTGGCCAGGCACACTTTCCACGGACCTCCTGCAAGCGGAGACCAGAAAACGATGATTGAGCCAAGCTCGTGTCTCTCGTTTCCTTTTTGGCCCCAATGCTCCAATGCTCGGTCAGAAGCCTCGCCAACGTAGCGGATGTATTGTCATGCCCTGGCGAGTGCGAGAGCCAGGGATTTGGCTTTCTTGAACGATTCTCGTCGTTTCCCCGTTGAGGCAATTTCGAGGGATGAATGCCACCAGCCAGGTCGTGATGCTTTCAATACAGTCGCTGGTCGAGTTACGCTGTAGATAAGTCTCTGCAGAAGCAAGAGCAAGTGCCTGGCAAACGTCATCACGAGATACGGACTGAAGCTTGGCTTGGAGCCTATCGAGCTGCCGCCCGAGCCAGACACCTTCTGGCTCCAACGACTCCCCCACATCGCGCAGGAAATCTTGCAAGCTTTGGCCATAGGACTCCAGTGTTGCTTCAAAGCTGGACGGTGGAAACAAAGCTCGAAGGACATCCGCCATCGGGGTCTACAGCAGGCCACCTCCTATACAACGTCAAGTCAATGCATTGAACAACCAAAATGAAGCCCCCCTGTTCACGATCGTTACAGAGAAACTTTGCGGGCCATAGACAATCTGCCCCAACCTTCAGCATTAAATTTGCAAAATGAGTTGCTCAGTTGGTGCGTTCACTTGGGTCCACAGCTACTGCCTGCTACCACTCAGCGCACTGGGCTGCATGAGACGATTTGGACGACCGGTTATCCAAACACACATCCTTTTAGTAAGCCCTACCTAATAGTATCCATTGTAGTTTCCGTTGTTGGTTTAAACTGTTCTACTCAAAGGTAACCCAAAAAAGGAACTGCAATGGAGACTGTATAGGTAAACCATTCACTGCACCCTAAACTCTCAACCCTAAACCCTCAACCCTCAACCCTAGTTCCTCAACCCTAATTCCTAAGCCCTAAACCCTCAACCCTAATTCCTAGACCCTATTTCCTCAACCCTGTTTCCTAAACCCTATTTTCCTAATTCCTAAACCCTGAACCATCAAAAAACCTTGAGCTAAAGCCGAAGCCCTAAACCCTAAACCCTAAACCCTAAACCCTAAACCCTAAACCCTAAACCCTAAACCCTAAGCTAAAGCCGAAGCGCCTCCCCAGTTCCGGCGTCTCTTGGCCATCGCCGTAGCGCAGGTCCGTTTGGGTGACCTCGCAAGGCAGCGTAGTATCGGGACCTTAGGGTGTATAGGGTTTAGGATTTAGGGTGTATAGGGTTCAGGGTTTACGTAACTTTAGGGTTTTCGGAGAATCATACCAAAAGTGTATATAAGAGCTATAAATTAATCCGACCCGTGCAGTACCTGTGCATCCAAGCCCCTGCTACTTCAAGAAGCATATACCCTATGACTCTGGGGTCATAATCTAGTGGCCTTGATATTTTTCAAAAGGGTTTTTGGAAGGGGATCCTTATCTAAAAAGTAAAATATACCCCCAAACCGTAGTCTGATTATTAAGCCCCCTGCGTTATTCTGACTCTTGTCTTATATGCCTCGAGGGCTGCAGCTTGGTTGTCAAGACTTTGAGTCTCTTGTGTAACTGACCACACCCTAACCCTATACATGCCAAACCCCCTAAACCCTAAACCCTAAACCCTAAACCCTAAACCCACCTAGGGCTCTTGGACCTTTGGGCTCTAAGCCCTGAACCCTGAACCCTACACTCAAAACCCTAAACCCTTAACGCTAAACCCTAAACTCTAAACCCTTAACTCTAAACTCTTAACTCTAAATCCAAAACCCTAAACCCTAAACTCTAAACCCTAAACCCTGAACTCTAAACTCTAAACCCTCAACCCTAAACTCGAAACTCTATATAAGCCCTAAACCCTAAACTCTACAGTCTATATAAACGCTAAACCCTAAACCCGAGGAAAGCTTCGGATTTCAGTGGCAGTGGGATTTGTGGCCGCTTCGGGTCTGGGGGTTTAGGCTGTAGGGCTTCAGGGCGTCAGGGCTTAGGGTTTAGGGCGTAGGTCAAGGGTTTAGGTTTTTAAGGGTTTTTTGGGCTTGGGGCTTTTAGGGCTTCAGGGTTTCTGGCTCTTCGGGCCTTTTCGAGCACGTATGGGCTTGGGGTTTAGGTTTTCGGATCGGGCCTTGTTAATATTTAGGGAAAGCGGCTTCGGGGTAAAGATTCGTAGTTTCCGGGGGTCTGAGTCAACTTGAGAACACATCCCCTCACCCCTCAGCCCTTAACCCTAAACCCGAGCCGCCCACCGGAGCTGTAAGGTTTAGGGGCGTCGGGCATGGGATCTCAGGGTGTACGTGGCAGGAACCTCCAGCGAAGGCGTTGCAGAACCGCCTAAACAGCTGGACCCTGATCCTTATGAGTTGGAAGTTCAAAGACATCAGGTTGCTTGTAGGTGGAGCTGCACACCTGGCAGGGTTTAGGGCTTTGGGTCTATAGGGTTTAGGGGTGTAAAAGCTGCACCCCGAGCCCCAATAAGCTCTAGAAAACACCTGCGATTTTTTCCCAAACCGAGGCCGGAACACCCTCGATCCTGAATCTGAAACCCTGAACAACGCAAAGACAGTCATCCCCCTGAACCCCAAACTAAGACATACAATACAGGGGCCTAAGGAAATACTATGTTGGGGTTCCTTGTTATGATTTTAGTATAATAATGAACCCAAAACCCTATTCTAAATATTCAGCCCCCTACATTACCCTAAATCCCACCTCCATGGTCATCTCACAGGGGGTATCCAAGATCTCCATCATGAAGCTCGGAGCCGTCTCTGAGTAGACATCACCTCTTCGGAACCCACCGAGCTTCGCGAAGCCATGATGCAGTGGCCCGCATAACTAGCGTACAGCTTCAGATCTAGTGCATATTGACGTCAAGCTCGACAAAACCAAAGGCATGGCAGTACTAAGTATTTAGGCTTCTGTATTATATAACCCGAACGGTGTAAGATTGGGGTCTTTAATGATTTGTTCGATATGATTCGGGTATCATACAGCGCCCCTTAACGACACCGAAACTCGTATAATAGAACACTGGCTGACAACACCCCGATGCCCTCATAGAACCCTAACCCCAAAACTCTTAAGCCCTCGTAGCACCCGGAATGGACCCTTCAGCGTAGGCCTTAAAGGAACCCTTTCGGGAACTCTTGCACGGAGACCTTACGCACAACCCCATACCTACACTTTCCATTGTAGTTCCTTTTTTTGGTTAACCCAATTGTATGGTTAGGATCCTAGAATGCAAATTTTGTTAACCAAAAAAAGGAACTACAATGGAGACTATAGGTAGAACTGCTTGAGGAGGGCCTTGGAAGGCGTAGATCTCTTCGAAAAAGGGCTCCCCTGGCACCCAGCCGGGTGTGAGCCCACCTGCCAGGACCCTCCTTGTACCCTCAAATAAGGGTGTATGGTCCCAAAGTAAGGGTATTTAGGGTCTAATTAGAGGGTAGATGGAGCGTCTAGGTGTAGGGTTTGTGGGACGGACTTCAGAGCTTGGCACCTGTTTAGGGTTTAGGGTTTGAGGGTTTAGGGTTTAGGGTTTAGGGATTAGGGACTAGGGTTTAGGGTTTAGGGTTTAGGGTTTAGGGTTTAGGGTTCAGGGCTTTTGGAACCTGATGAAGAGACCCTGGGTCAATGTGGGTTCGTGATACTGTTGATGAGATAACCTGATATAGATCCTGCATTACCTGATATAAGGACCCTAAGCTATGGGAATATGGCATTTTCTGTATTATGGGTATTGCAGGATTTATATCCTCAACCGTATGACTCCTGATGTTTTGAGGCTATAAGGCCAGGGTTTCTCAATCAGGTTCCTACATTTTTGGGGAGTTTTTTAGGGCTTCGGGCTTAGGACTTTGTTAGGGTAGGATTATGGGGCTTGGGGGTGCGGAGCGGTTGATTTAAGATCAGCACGTGGGTGATAGCAGGATCACGCGAATCTGGCTCCGGTCGGTCAAACATTACGTGTTTTGGTGCCAAACCCCAGGGGTTTAGCAGTCAAGGTGACCTAAAACCCAAGACCAGAAAGCCCAAACCCGAAAAGCCCTATTCCCTAAACAGCAGTGTCTCTGAGGATTGCAAACCTAGTGCTTGCTTCCTGGGGTAAGCATAGGTGTACAGGACCATGGCGCTCAAGCACTTGGCAATGTTAGAGGTCGGTGTCTTGTGGTTCATGTACAGTAGAAGCCAGAAAGTTGGTACATCATTGTCCTCTAAAGCACTGTGAATTCTAGCCCTAATCAACGTTAATCCATGTTCCAACTTTCTGGGGTTCAACATAGGGATTTTTTTAGGTTTTGGAGTTTAGGTGTAGCATTGGGCGCTGGAGGATGTAGGGTGACACACCTAGGTTCTTAACGAAATGGCCCCCTTTGTGAAATATAGGGGCCTCAACAATTACCTATACTATTTTGGGAGTTCCTTATTAAACTTATGTATATACCCCCAAAACCCTATTCTAATTATTAAGGCCCCTACATTAGACTACTCAGCTTGTAAGAAGGAGACCCCAAAATGAAAAGGGCACACGGGAACTACTGGGGGATCAATGCACCAGGCCGCTCCAGTAACTACTCGTACGTCCGATGTAACGCGACATTCGGGTCTCAGGTTAATGCTCTAACATAGGAGCCTTAACATACTATAATTATAATTAAGGAACCCCCTAAATACTATGACCTATCTTAGGGTCTATGGGGTTTGAGGTATAGCTTGTGCAGAAACTCTATTTTCAAGGGATCTCCAAACCCCCTATCTCGTACCTTAGCCCAGCCCTAAACCCCAAATTCAGCACCTCACGAAACACGGTTTAGGGTTTAGGGTTTAGGGTTTAGGGACTTTTTAAACATGAGATCCCCAAACCAATAAGCCCAGTCTAATCCGCCACAGCCGTCAACCCTACAACCCAACATACGCGGAGACCTGCGCAGTTTCCGAATTAATGGGACCCCAATTCAAGATGCCTAGACCTGCAATGTATACCAAATAAAACATCTTTGGCTTGAGGAAGCCATATCGAATCTTGTACATCTTTTGGAGCAAACCCTAAACCCAAAACCCTAATCCCTAAACCCTAAACCTAAATCCTAAACCCTAAGCCACTCACCGACCTGGTCGAGGTCCTAAGTCCGAGTTCACAAGTCGACACCTGGGCGTTCGAAGCTCCCAGAACCCTCCTTGTACCCTCAAATGAGGGTATATGGTCCCAAACTAAGGGTATTTAGGGTCGAATAGAGGGTAGATGGAGGGTCTAGGTCTTAGCAGCTCTTCTCCGGTCTTCTACGCCCCTTGTGGGGCCATCATGGGCTTTTAGGTGTCTTCTATGCCCCTTGTGGGCCATGGGGTGTCTAGGTGTCTTCTACACCCCTTGTAGGGCCATGGACGTTTAGGTGTTGTCTACACCCCTTGTGGGGCAAAGGGGCTTTTATAGGTATCTTCTACACCCCTTGTAGGGCCATGGGCTTTTAGGTGTTTTCTACACCCCTTGTAGGGCAATGGGTTTTTAGGTGTTGTCTACACCCCTTGTGCCTTTTATAGGTATCTTCTACACCCCTTGTGGGGCCATGGGCTCTTACGGTGTCTTCTACACCCCTTGTAGGGCAATGGGCTTATAGGTGTCTTCTGCATTACTTCTGCATCCCTTCTAGGGCAATGGGGTTTGAAATTTTCGGTGTTTATACGACTTATTTGCGGTAGGCTTTGTGGATACACACGAACGTACTTAGATACACACGCATTCATGCCCAACTACATACAGTACAATTACATGACATGACGTTGCAATACACTACATTACGATACATTACATTACATCGCACTGCATCGCGGTACACCTCATTAAACACACATCACACTCATCACATTACATCGCATTACATCACACTGCACCACACTGCATCACGTCACATAGCATCACAGCAGCTCACCTTACATTACACTATACACAACATTACAATACAGTACATTACGCTACGTTGCATAACATATCGTAGTGCATCAGGTTACATCATCACAGTACATAACACGCATACACATACACACACATGCATGTGTACATGCATATATGCATACATGCGTACAGACGTGCCAGAAATGCAAAGCCTTAACCTTTCACTCGTCAACCCGGCAAACCCTAATTCCCTACAGCCCGATTTAAACCTCTTTTTTCGCCCTCCGAGCCCAGACTCCAACAAATCGCTGCTGTGGCACTCGTAGATGGTATCGAAAAGCTGCACAAAGTCGTCGATACGCAGCCAGACGAAACCTGAGCTGTTGCTTAGTGAAACTTAGGGGATTTAGGGTTAGGGTTGCGGGTTTAGGGTTTAGGGTTTAGGATTCGGGACTGATTGTGTACGACTTGCACAGCAGCGGAAACGATGATACTTATGTATTATGACGATGACTGACGACGATATATTGCCACAGAGCAACTATGCCAGACTAGCAGTAGAGCAGCAGCAAGATGAAAATGCTATGGCGCTGAGCATGACGATAACAATAACAATCATGTCGACTACGAACACCAGTATGAAAGAAACGATACGATCTAACAAAATGCAATAATGATAACAGTGGCACCACGAAACTCATCGCAACTTTACTGCATCTCAGAAGCCGTCCTGGACGCCGTAGCCCTCCGGTGAGGGAACCTCGATATGGTCTTCAAGCGGCTGCAGAAGACTGGCTCATGTTTGACAAGAGTTGGCTTATGGTTAACGGACATGGGTTCACTGATTTTACTTCCCCAAGTACCCCAGCGAACAAAAGCGTGAAACTTCAGAACACCATTCACAAGGGTCAGCAAAATATATCAATGCAAGAGGTTTAGAAGGTTGTCTTATTGTTTTCTTACTCAATACATGGCCAAGGATAGGCGAAGTCGCACAAGTCGCACCGTTTCTGCGGATGCATAGTACAGAGGCCTGAATCACTGGAAGACATTATTGGGTATGGCATCGGAGGGACGATAGCGGCCGACCTTCACCTATCAATTCTTCCTTTAGGACTGGTACTTAGAAAAACAAAATCAAAACTCTCCATAGTGGAAGGGAGCTGAGGCTTTGAATCTCCGAATCCAACAGCCTGGCGGCGTCGCAGTTTGGCATCCGTGCCACGGCATAGGTCGGTGCTGCCATGCAGACGCAGACGTATGGCACGCCCTGTTCAGGGATTTAGAGAGGCCTCCACAGGATTCATTGAGGGTTTAGGGTTTACATAGGGTGTTGGCGCTGATTTGCGTTCTTCATCTTCGTAAAGAGGACAGTACATGTTGCAATGACTGTCTGCACAATCTGTCTGCTTCGAAACACGAAACCTGTACCCTGCCTTTAGAGCCCAAAACATAATGTCGGGGCCTTAATGATTAGAATAGGGTTTTGGGGTATATTATAAAATAAGTTTCATAAGGAACTCCCAAATAGTATAGGTAATTATTGAGGCCCCTATATTATCCGCACGATCTGGCCCTCGACCAATCTTAGATGCACCTGGGGCTGTGATGCTTTTACTATTCTTAAATTTCTCTCAAAGTAGTACCAGCTTGTCGGAACCCAAACAGCTTGAGGAATAGAGAACTATGCGAAACCACGCATGATCTAGGATCAGGGACCAACCCCCCAAGCGCAACGAAGATGCTCCTTGAGAGCTAAAATCATGCCCTGCGGCTTGCAAAGAAACCCTAAACGACACTTGAGAATCCTGAAACAATCGACGGCTGATTTCGGGGATAAGAAGACACTGCATGTAGCTTCCAAAGCAGCAATCAGAATGGTTAGTCAAGGCTGAAAAACCACACATAAGTCATCAAAGCCAATCGCAATGCTATACAATCGTTACGAACAGCAAGAGAACTGGTGTGTAAACACAGAAGCAAAGCTCATAGCAATTTGAATGCGACTATGAGCACCGTCGCAGCAACAGCAAAAACAACAACAGCACCAGCAGCAACTACAGCAACAATAATTAAAAAACATAAGCAGAAGTACAACTACAAGTACAAGTACATGTAGTGATAATGACCAGAACAACAACTCAACGGTCAATCCTGTCCCGGCCTGATGCTTCACGACACGATAGATTGCAGAGGCGTGATGGGATCCCATCGGGATGTGCCGCTTCGAGCATTCCTGTCTCATCCAGGCTCGGAAGAGGGGTTGTAATAGTGGGCTTCGGATCCCTAAGCCCTATACACCCTGAACCCTAAGCCCGAGGCGTGTAGGCAGTGGGGTCTGGGGGCTCAGCCTTAATCATTCGACCAGGGTTTATGGGTATACCTACAGTGCAATCATACAAGAAGCGGACTGCAAGCAGTTGAGCAGGATTTTCTTAGCTGATATTCTACAACAGTTCTACATTCGACGCTAAACCACAAAACCCTGCAGCCCCAGGACCAAACAGTGAACCCTGAATGATCCTACTTAGGTCTTTGTCTTAGGCCTAAACCCAAAAGCAGGCTCGAGGGGCTCAGAGCCCTGGACACCAGAATCGTGAACCCTTAATCGCCATCCTACAGTGGCCCTACAGCTTAGGATTTAGGGTCTGGGGTTTACTGCATGAAGCGGCTTCGGATGTAACCCAAAGGTATCCCTGCAGCTAGTCTAATCCATTCCAGGGCTGAAAAATCACCCTGCGCTCAGCATGAAGAAAGAACTGAACCCCAAACCCTAAACCCGAAGCCCCTAAACCCTGAAACCTAAACCCCCAAACCCCCGACTCATTCCACCACGATTTTGCCGAGCGGCCTGGTCGTTGATGTTGCATCCGAATAGGCAAGAGTCCTGGAGGAAGAACCTTCAGATGGACATGTAGTCCCTAGACCCTAAACCCTCATCCCAAAACCCCTGAACTTTGTAAGGAGGTCTGGCGCTCCAGGGTGTTGAGCTTGAGGTTAGAGTCTAGGGTTTGGTTGGGGTTTAGGGCTTCCGGTTCCGAGGTTAGGTTAGGTTTCGGTGGGCTCCAAAGATCTCCTAGACGTCTGACGAGGGCTTGGGTTCCGGGTCGCGGGTGCTAAAGCCCCAACCCCTACCTGAACCCCTCAAAACCTACCTCTTCATGGCCTTGTAACCCTAAACCCTAAACCCTACAACTTAAACCCTAGACCCTAAACCCTAAACCCTAAGCCCTAAACCCTGAACCCTAAACCTTGAAACCTAAACAGGCAGGTCTTTGGGCGTGGCGGTGGTCGCTTAAACCTCATGAGCCTCCTATGTCAACCCCTTCAGCCCTAGCTACCCCTAGGCCCCAGAGCCTAATGTCGGTCCCTGATGAATACACATTGCTGGCAAATGAACCTGACTTGGGTTTAGGGTTTGGGGTTTAGGGTTTAGGGTTTAGGGTCCCAACGTCTACCAGCAAGGGCCTTCAAGAGAAGGGGGTCATCCATCAGCGTAGCGCATTAACCGCAGACCCCCAAACACCAAGAGCCCATTCAAAGAGCATTTCAAGGCCAGGGAACAGGTACTGCCATAGCCTATCCTGCGCCACGTCGGTGGTGCCGAAGCGCGTGGAGCAACCACCTGATGCAAAGCTTTGGCTTAGGATGCAAGGTTCAGGGTTTAGGGGTTGCAGAGGTTCCTGCGGCCAAAATGGGTAACTGTTCAGTCAGGGTTTTCTTATAAGCAAGCGAGCTCTCAAGCGGCCCCTCCTTCTAAAGGAATGTATAGAATGTAAGTGTTCTCAAGCGTATCAGAACCGAATCCTACCGACGGAGGGAACTGCTGATACTTGCTACGAACACCACCTCCAGCATTCCTGCAACTTCTCGGAACATGCACACACAGGATACATGATATTGCAGAAGAACCAGACGAACAGTAGTGGGAGATAGTGGGAGAAATATGTGCTTTTGTCGCAGTGGTCGGGGATTCTACCTCTTAGCAGCAGTGAAATCTACTTGTTTGGCGGAGGTTTGGGTAATATAGGGGCCTCAATACTTAGAGCAGGGTTTTGGGGGCCATGATACTATCACTATATAGTAAGGAACCCCCAAAAAAGTGATGGTAATGATAGGCCCCTAAACCCTACTTCTAGTAGCCCTTATAGAACCCTTNNAAACCCTAAACCCAAAACAGTATTGGTAATTCTTTAGGCCCCTACATCAAGCAACCCAAAGTCAGGGAAGCACAGGAAAGCCCGGCCTGTGAGGTCCGTCAGCAGTTCCTGCGAGCTGCAAAGGAAGCTAGGGTTTAGGGTTCAGGGTTTCGGGTTTAGGGTTTAGGGTTTCGGATTTAGGGTTTCGGGTTTAGGGTTTCGGATTTAGGGTTTAGCGTTTTCTTTTCGGGGTTTAGGGTGTAGGGTTTGAGGTTTAGGGTTTAGGGTTTAAGGTTTAGGGTTTAGGGTTGACTGTTGTGGCCCGTGTTGCTTGCTGCATGTGGCAGATTCCTCTTTTGCCGGGCCCGGAGAGGTCTGGCCTGGTCCAGAACGCCGGATCTTCGAACCACCCCTTTAGGGTTTAGGGTTTAGGGGTTTAGGGTTTAGGGGTTTAGGGTTTAGGGTTTAGGGTTTAGGGTTTAGGGTTTAGGGTATCGTAAAGCCATGTAAACCCTTATCTGAAACTTCAACCGTAAACCCTAAGTGTTAAGACACTAAAGCTGAAAAAACGCTGGGCCCAAGACCGACCAAAATCCGTACACCCTGAAAGATCTGGACCAAACCTTCTCCGGCCTCCACATGGCCACCTCCTCCCAGGCCCTCCCAGCTGCCATGCAGTTTGGCATACGCCTGGCCGGCAAGTCTTGACTCAGACTCTACCTGATCTCTCCCCCAAAGACCCTACCTTTTAGGGCTAAACCCTAAACCCTAAACCTAGGGTTCACACAAAGACGTCCGCAAAAGGAAGCCCAAAGGGGACGTTATTTCTACGGTAGGGCCCTAGAGTTGAGGCTTTGCGTGCGGAGCTGGAGTGCTAGGGTTCCAGAGATGTTCGGCTTTGGAAGCTCGAGGGGACCTTGTGACCAAGCTAAACCCTAAACCCTAAACCCTAAACCCTAAACCCTAAACCCCTAAACCCTAAACCCTAAACCCTAAACCCTAAACCCGTAACCTCTTAACAAAAAACCCTAACCCTACACCCTTAACCCCAAACCGCAACCCCCACCTTCTCCAAAACCCTAATGTAAGCTCATCGCCTGGATGAAGAAACCTTCGGCCTGCTAAAAGATCGCAAACGCTGCATCCTAAAGCACCCGGTTGGGGTTTTGGGCTTAGGGTTTAGGGTTTAGGGTCTAGGGGGTAGGATGCTAGAGGAGCACTAAAATTCAAAAACAGTAAAAAAAGGGGCCCTTGGTGATCAGAATAGTTGCTGGGGAAATAATAGTATAGCTGTACAAGGACTATAACCGTTTATTCTCCAGACCTCCGTAAGATTCTCTAAGGCCTGAACCCCAACCCATCCCTGGAATGTGTGCTCTGAGATTTCGGGCTTGGCTTTGCGTCACGATTCGGGGCCTAAGTGTGGTGCTCGAATGATCCATCGCAGCTTCAGAAGTGATGCACAACCCGAAACCCTTTTATCTTAAACCTGCTGAAGTCTTAAAGCCTAAACCCTTATAAACCCCTGTAGTAACCTCAAAGGAACCGTTTCAGGGTATAGGTTTTGGGGCTCAGAAGTTTATGGAAGTTGGGCCATGATTTGGGGTCCCAGTCTCGTTGTTGGGCTTCAGCAACGTTCAAGCGCCTCTAAATGCAAACCATATGGATAAGGATGCCGCACTACATTAGGCGCGTAAAAGGGACCCTAAATTAGAGAACTACCCATATCCACCACGACCAACAGCAGAAGCAGAATCCCACCCGCAACCACCACAACATAATGGACCTCCTGTTGACGTCCTCATTTTCTACCCTGCATGTCCTGCCCCTAGTAACAAGGTACTTGAAAACCGCTCCAACAACATCAACACTTCACAAAAAAAACAAAATCAACAAGGAAAAAACCCTAAACCCCTCAACCCTAAAACCCTAAACCCTAAACCCCTAAACCCCTAAACCCTAAACCCTAAACCCTAAACCCCAAGGGACCTTCTCGATGATGGCCGGCCAGGAGAAGGAAGGCCAAAACTCGCTTCTGGTGCAGAGCGGGTTCCTTGGAGTAACGCAGGGGTTTGCGGCTTAGGGTTTAGGGGGTTAGGGTTTAGGGTTTAAGGGTTCAGGGTTTAGGGGCTTAAGGGTTTAAGGGTTTAAGGGTTTAGGGTTTAGGGTTTAGGGCTCAAGGGTTTAAGGGTTTAGTGGTCTAGGGTTTAGGGTGTAGCAACTACAATAGGGGCCGTAAAAAATAGAATAGGGTTTTGGGGCCGATGAAACTATGACCATAAAAAGGAACCCCACAATAGTGTTGGTATTTATTTAGGCCCCTACATTACAACATGTCCCTTTAAGGGCTCTTGTGCAGGGCTCTGTTGAGTTAGTCACTCTAAAAGGGTGTCAATGACGGGGCCCTTACGATCAGAACAGAGCTTTGGAGCAGATGCGGCTCGAAATATGGAAAGACGAGAAGTCTTTTCGACTGGGGCTTTGGGACGTTGCATATGAGAACTAACTGCACGAAGGAACCCGAAGGACTAGCAGCCCAAACCCTATACCCTAACCCGTAAACCCTAAACCCTGAACCTCAAAACCCTAAACCCTAAGCCCTGAAACCTAAACCTCTAAACCCTAAACAGCAGCAATTTGTCCAGACCTATCTGTGGGTCTCAATGCTTCTCCAGGCATAACATCTCTGGGCTTCCGGGGCCCTGACATGCGCTCTATGTATATCTTAAATATGTATATACATATACACAGCATATTTCATGTATGTCTGTATGTACGTTTATATGTATGTCTGTATGTCTGTATGTGTGTCTGTATGTCTGGCTGTATGTATGTATGTATGTATGTATGTATGTATGTATGTATGTATGTATGTAGCTCCCGAGCGTGCTATGTTTAATGAAGGTG